ATACCACTTAACCCAGTGGTTAGAAAGACGTTCAGAACTGTGTCCACTCTACTTGGTCTCCCCACCCTCCTTGAAGTATTAAAGCGAAGCAAATGGTTGTGTTGAAAGCATTTCCATTTCAATGCTGTGATGAGTTGCTGCTATGTGTTCATCAGCACCTTGGATCCTGTACAGAGCACCTATTACAGAAAATGGGTGTGCTGTCCAAGCAGCAAGACTGGTCTCAGAGGGAGCACTGGCTTGGGACTGATCTCAGGACGTCCACTCCCATAGGCACTAGATGGATTGCAGGGAGTGAAGCAGTTGATGTTCAGACAAAATCAGAGAGGGGTGAGGGCAGATTTTTGTTGTGCAATTGTGCCTGTTCTGGCATACTTTTAAAGCGTCATCAGAAGTGCCTCTATGGGACAGGCGAGCTGGAGGAAGGGGAAGCATGCTCATTAATGCATTACTGCTATGCTAGCTTTTTCACAAACTAATTGTATTTACATTGAATATTAACAGTATTAAAGAGTATGTGGGGGGGAAATCTGTTGCCAGACATACTCATGGAACCCCCCGTGGGATTTTGCAGGTGATGGACTTGGGTCCTGTGTGTTTGTAACCTTTTGCCATCAGAGTATTTTTCTCCCCACACACAGATCCAAGCTTCTTTTGCCAGAATAACCTCCATGCTGGTCAAAATAAAGACCACAGAGTGAAGGAAGTGAGAAATTTCTCAGGCAAGAGAGTTATTGAAATGAACAAGAATATAGTTTTCTTGTCTTATCACACCATGTCACTATCTCATGACAAAACATGTTATAAGTACCATAGCTGAAAATGGGACATGTGATTCATTCCATCCCCCTCCCCCCCTTTGGTATCTGGAGGTTTGATGATTGCCAGTGATGTTGCTACTAGTACCATGCTGTTGAGTCAATATTGTCACCACAGATGCCATAAATGCCTTTGTTCAATAAAGTCTCTTGGGCTATTGGAATTGTTTCAGGGATTCTCCCAATACTAGAATAATCTAAGGTAACCTTTCCCTCCCCCACTCCACTAAACACTTTCAAATCTTATTTTGCTAAACCCAGTAAAGACCGTCCAACTCAAAGAAAACCCTACTGAAGAAGATCTTTAAGCAATATACTTGGCTGCTCTCCATGATCTCCATGCCTACCCCTGTGCAGAAAAGATAGCGCTGATCAATATCAATACTGCTCAATGTGCTGCCTTGTCTTTATTTTCCTTCTCTGTTTCCACTCTGTTTTTGCCTTCTCTCCAATTGAAGTTAATGCTGGATCATTCCATCGAGTTCCTTTTTCAATGTGGTCAAATCCACATCACCCAAATTATAACACGGTCCAATGACAGATGCAAACATAGTGGACATCTTTCCCCTTGCCGAAATAAACAAGCACTTTATTCAAATGTTTCAATCTTGTGTGATCAGATGGTACCAACGAGCACCTGAATGGATGGGGAGCACTGAAAACTTGAGTCAACAATGAGTGCTGCACAGGCCGAGATAGTGCATACTCTTACACGAAGTGAAACTGAGCTCTGTGTAGAAGGTTAACATAAAGTCTATATACAACTTGTGTCCCATTTAAGCACTTGGGGAGAATTTCACCCACAGCCTCTGGCAACATGCCTCAACCCTGTTCTGGATTGTCCTATTTCAAAGCCCCTTCAATCATTTTCTCCTCTGCTACGATTTCCAACAGGGATGATAGTTTTTGTCACATGGACACTTGTCTAGTAGGAACTAGACTGAAACCACCAACTCGTCTTAGATAAGCCACTGAACTGCTGTCAAATGTTAATAAATTATAGTAATGAGTACGGCTTTAACATGGGTCAGATTGGAAGGTGGAAACTGAAAGCCTGGGTTTCCTGTTACTTTACTGTCCAGTCACTGACCTATACTTACGTTCTAGTTTATATGTTTCTGTTCCATAACATAATAGCAATTTTTGGTGCAAGGTGGGTCTTTTTCCTCAAGTGATTGAGCTGGGCATCCAAGCAGAGAATGAATGACCTTGTCATTCAGTGATTCTTTGTGTCTTTTGCTGATTCTGATGTACAGGACTCTAATTGTCTGTCTCCTTTTTGACCCGTTAAAGCCAGTGTTAACGCCCATACTCAGTATGTGAGAAGTTGCAGTGTTTGCTTCTTTATTCCATCTTTGACGTGCTACGTGACTTTGCAGGGTCTTCCGATTTAATTAGAAGGCCTCCGGCAGGATTATTCCATTCAGGTTTAAAATGCTGTGTGGCAATGATGGCAGTAGATCAATAAGGCTTTGGCATTTCTTTGCCCCCTTATGTCTTCATTAGACACTTAAGTCATACAAGTTCTGTCAGGAAATCATATGCTAATCTTCATTCATATGGACACTACGACATTATGCTCTAGATTGTCCAATCTAGTGGGAGTCTTAATAATGAATATCAAGAAATTACACTGTTAATTCCCTGGTAGGCTGAGAACCATGCTTGAGCGGTATGTGACACTACAAGCAGCTGAGAAAACACTGGATAAAAATTAAGTTTTTAAAAGTTTATCTCAATAAGAACTTTCAGCAATTGACCTTTATTAAATGTAAAAGCCTTCTGTAGTGTGTTTACCTTCTTTGAGACGTTCTCCAGCCTTCACAGAGTGGCTATTGATGAGGGTGTCAGAGTTTGAACAGTAGACTGTTTCTTTAGTTCATAAGGCGTTGCAACAATCAGAAAGCAAAGCATTGATTTAGTGAATTCAAACGCAAGGTGAATGGATTTGTTTTTAAACCGTATTTTATTAATATTTTAATATATTTTAAGGCTGGCATTAGAAATCCCAATGTTGCACACAGAGGCCAACTCTGGGGGAGCTTAGCCAGTCTTCAGTCAGATCAGGGTTGGGCCAAAAGGAGGATAGAAGAGAGTACTTCACTTTTTCTTCCTTAATCACTGTGGGATCTCCAATCTTAATCCTGACTTTCAAGGTGAAATCCTGGTCTTAGTGAAGTCAATGGCAAAACGTCCATTATCTTCACTGGGGTCAGGATTTCCCCCTCAGTGTCTAGGAATCTCATATACTTTCTCTGGACCCTACCCTGAAGAAGCAAGGTGGTTTTCTGATGGCTTTGTTCCTCTTTCCTCTGATAATGTGGAGCTCTTCTTTTCTTTTTTTTTTCTAAGTAGGATACTCATAAACAGCTACTTTTCATTTCACCTCTCCATTTTAATGTTTATTTTTGAGGATAAGAAATACTTTGGCCAAATTTAATAATAATAATAGGTATATCTCCATATATATTCTATTATCTCATAGAACTGGAAGGGACCCTGAAAGGTCATTGAGTCCAGCCCCCTGCCTTCACTAGCAGGACCAAAATTCACCCTTCATTTACATCAGATGGTGTAACCAAGGGCAAAATTTGGCCAGGTATGTTTTTCTGTTACTACAATATACATTTATTCTCATTTTAATAACTTATTTCCTTTTTAAACCAGGGATCGGCAACCTTTGGCATGCAGCCCGCCAGGGTAAGCCCCCTGGCGGGCCAGGCCAGTTTGTTTACCTGCCATGTCCGGAGGTTCGGCTGATCGCGGCTGGTAAACAAACCGGCCCGGCCTGCCAGGGGCCTTACAGGCCGCGTGCCAAAGGTTGCCGATCCCTGATTTAAACAAATGAAGCAATGCAAACAAAATCCAGTATTCTTACTGTGCAAAAAATATTCTTGTTCCAAATTAATTCAGTGCAGCTTTTCTACAAGTTTCCAGTGTCATTTCTTTCTCATGTTTTTTCCTCTCACTCCAGCCTCTCTGCTCTCAAGCACACTTCCCGGGTTCAGAGTTCGGATTGTTGGAATCCTCATGAAACATCCTTGAGAACAAGGTGTATGCTTTACCTAACAAACAGCTATTGTGGGGCCCGATCCTGCATTTCTTGCATACCCAAAATGCCCATTGAGGCTTGGTGTTCAGGGAACACAGACTTCTATGGATTTCTCTCTCTCGGGGTGTGTTTTTTTTTTCTGCCATGTTTATAAAACACAAGGTCTCTAAAGCCTCTCCAGATTGTTTTGGAAGAACATATGCTTTGCCTTTTGGAGTATTCTAGGAATGTTGCTCTGGTGTCTGTCTTACTCCAGCATTCTGATAGTTTTTTTTTCCTTATCTACATACAGTACATGTAACTTTTTTGGCCTTTGTAACCTGAGCTTGAGGTATCTTCTGTTGTGTTGTGGTTCTTGTCATATACCACTTATACTTTGGCAACTTCCTACCCTTGTGCTATTTGAGCCACGTTTTAATCACGAGGTATGCAAGGAAACCCGTTTTATTCACATTTTAAAGAAGATTCCCATTTGGTTGAACCCGTCTCCTTTGCCTTAGAACTTTTCATGTTACTTCGGAGATTGTGTTGCTCTGTTGCTAGGCAGCTGAAGCATCTTCAGTTACATGCCACAATTTGTGAAATTCTTAAGTTATCTCATTTTCTTTCTTTTATTTTGAAATGTGACCTTTTTGGCTTTCATCCCTCTTCATTCAGTTGCACTGATGTGATTTATTAGCATTTACCCCCTGAATTTCTGAGAGCCACATGTATTGGAGCAGATTGAATGTGATAGCAAAAAAATTAGGAGTAAAGGAGTTACATTGGTCAGGATTAGTCTACAGTAGGTGATTTCTTGTAGATAAACTACTTAATGTGTTTTGGCTTCCATGGAAGGGGTGGATTGTGGTTGTAATCTGTTGCAACGTTGACAGTTCATGTGAATAAAAACACTACATGATATTAAAGTATCACTGCAAGGTAAGAAAGTCAGTTTAGATTGCAACATTAATACCATATTTCTGGTCTGTTTCCTCCTTATCCTCTCTCTGAATTTATTTTTGATGTAAAATATGAACTATAATTTAACCACTGAGTCTGTCATGTATAGTATTTGACTTATTTGGCTTGAATAATAAAGATATCAGCCTGGTATTCTTGGAGTATACTGCATTAATCAGACTTGCTGGAATGATCACATGGTACTCTGTGCCTTTCCCTGTTAGCTGCTGCTTGTCAGCAGCTGGCTGAGCTGTCGGCTGCAGGCCAGTATCTGCATACCCTTTCTCTTCAGAATATTTCAAATATACTGCCTCTTAATTATGCATTTTGCTGCAGTTTGACAAACTAAATGGTTCTCCTGCATGTTAAGAAGATTATTTTAAATTTCAGAGAATTTGTCTAGTTACTAGGCCATGTATGCATTTGAAGAATTCAGGTAGGCTCTCTATTTTATATACATCAGTGTGCTTGGTTTTTGTTCTCACCAGGTTTTTGCTGTGTAATGTCAGACGGCTCTACAGTTAGTTCTCCAAAATGTAAATGTTTCTTGCATTTTAAAATATCTACCCTGTGTATTGGGAGAAGTGTGTGGAAGAATGAGCTTCAGGTAAACGATAGCTAACTGCATGACGGAGAGTAAAGCTGGATAATTGATTATCTCTTGCACAAATTTTATAGTCGTGTAGCCAGAAGCTGCAAGTACAGTATAGAGTTATAAAACAGAAAGTGTTCTGCTGAAAAGGGTCTTTGCTATTTTTGGTTCCTGAGACCTGACAGATGTTTCTTCTCTAAAGAATACTGATTATGATAATTAAGGGAAAAAATATTGATGCTTAGATCATAGCTACGATTAGATTTTTGTGCTGCAGCACAGTCTACATGCCTGTTTTTCATAATCCTGTAGCTGTAGAATTTCATATGATGATATTTCTAAATGTGATTCATATGGTTCGATTAGGGTTGGGTTGGGTTTTTGTTTGCAAACATTTGAACAGCTGTGCTTTGTTAAACTACAAAATTAGCATCTTTTTTATTTAATATTAGTGCTGCTCAATACTGGCTCGTCCTCCATCCTTCCCCCCCGCCTCCCCCCCAAATATAACTCTCCCTATGCAGATTCAAGATCTATTTAAACCATGACTGGTTTTTGAAGATAGCTGAAACAAAATGAATAGACATTGTAACACGATTGATGTTTTCACCTGCATTGAAATTGTACTCTATGAAAATTTCTGATCTTCAGTGGGTCTTTCACTTTTTGTTTTAGGTTTATTCACTGTTTCTTGTAGGTCATATTATAATATTGGCCAGATAAAAATGGTGATACTATCGTGACAACATTGGGGTAATCTCTTGGTATATTTTCTGTTCTATGTGCCATTGCTATAATATAATATGGAAAAAAATCCCTTTGATTTATTTAGATGTAGAAAAAGATTGTTTAAGTATGTAACTAGACGTGAAGGAGATTGGTTTTGCATTCACAATGCACATTCAGTACCTGATTTTTTTTTCTATTAAACTTTTTTAAAGTCAGACAAAATATGGATTACATTTTGTTAATCTGTGCTTTGCCAGATGACGTACGTGTGTGTGAGTACACATCTTGATGCTGACAAGTAGTAGAAATGAGCAACTTGAAAAATAATAATTAAAAAAACACCATATGTCTAGAATCCAGCCATAAATGATGAAGAAATATAGGCTAACAGTGACTAGAACTTCTATTGCTTATGAAATGCTGTAGGATACTGCCTCAGTGAAAAGATTTTACTGGAACACTTTGTGATGCTGTGTAACTGCAATTGTCATAGGATTGTCAAGAGGTGCTCACAAATCTTGATGTAGCCAATTGTTGGCAGTAAGTTAAATTGCAAACAGGCACACAGCCTACTATGTCATTATTTGATTTAGTAGTTCTTTATATTGCACCCAAGTGTTTAAAACATATTATTAATACAGCAATATTCCAACCAGATTTGTCACTAGAAAACAAATTACGGTAATTTGAAAAGTGTACTTAAAAAGCTCTAGCTAATTTCCAGTGGAGGCCCCATTCATGGGAAGACAAGGAAGACATTTACATAGTTCTGCAGCAGAGAGGTTTAGATTCTGGTCTATACCCCTCCTCAGGCTTGTGAATGTACTAGCCTTCCCCTCTTTGGCTTGCTTTGAAAATTACGTTGAACTTTACATGCATGAACTACTAGTGCATTCTAAAATCCTCCAAGCTGGCGGGACTGTGGCATCTGTGTAGTAACATTTAGAATGACATTTATGTTGTTAGGCATTTCAGTGGTATTCCGTTGAGGGTCTTCTTTATGGGATTATTATTAGCTCTTATTTCTATAGCTGTATTTACTTGTGACGGGACCACTGTGTATCTCACAAACTAAAAAGGATTGGCCTAGTTCAGTATTTGGATGGAAGACCTATGCCTATAAGATATGGAGTTGATGATTCAGTAGGTAGTGCTGTTCCCTGAACTAAAGACTCAACATGGTGTTAAAGGCACTATGCTGTTGGAGATGCCATCTTTTTGGATAAAATATAGAACTGAAGTCATGGCCACTTGTGCTCACTCAGGGCCTGACTTCCATTTACAAAGTAGGTGTTCACTTCCATGTACAAAAACATATATCCAGTTTAAATCTCAGATTTGTCTGTATACAAGTCTAGATCGGTGTCTGTCTAGCCAAGTGCGAGCACAGCTTCCATTTGTGCATGCATATATAATTCAGCACATGCAAAATACGGTTTCATTTGTGCATGTGCAAGTTTACATCTACTTTCTGACTAGATATTGGCGCTAAGGAACCCATAAAAATCTCTCAAAGAGGTGCACAGCCAGTCTTAGACAAATTCCAGATCCTGAAGAGTGATTACGTTCTGTCTACCCAAGTTCCCTCTGCAGTTTCAATTTGATATAGTGACCTTCACTTCCTGGCGAATGGTTGGGTAGTGCTGGGTACTGTTAAACAGCTGCTGAACTTCTTTGCAGAAGCATCTCACTTCAGGACTGGATGAAGAAAGCAACCCTGGTGTGCTGTTTATAAAACACTTATTTGTAAAGCACTTTGGGATGAAAGGTTTCAGAGTAGCAGCCGTGTTAGCCTATATCCGCAAAAAGAACAGGAGTACTTGTGGCACCTTAGAGACTAACAAATTTATTAGAGCATAAGCTTTCGTGGACTACAGCCCACTTCTTCGGAAATTATGCATCCGAAGAAGTGGGCTGTAGTCCATGAAAGCTTATGTTCTAATAAATTTGTTAGTCTCTAAGGTGCCACAAGTACTCCTGTTCTTTTTGGGATGAAAGGCACTTGATAAATATAACTAATGTGGATGATGAGCCAAGAGTTGAACCTCAGAGAAAACAAAGGAACTAAAATCCATTGGGAATTTCATAATTCCATGTTCTAGCCAAGGACCGTTTTTTTTCCTGACAGTGGGACAGGGCATTAACCCTAAGGCAAACTTTATTTGTTGTGTTTTTTTTTTTTTTTAAACTGAGGGTTACAGAAACTTACACGACCAGGTCCTCAGTTTGTGAGGTTATTGGACCTTTGCCTCGTGACATCAGCTGAGGATGTGGTCCCTTGTCTTTACTAATTCTTTTTATAGTCTTTCAATAGCCTAACATGTATTTTATATGTAAAATGCAGTGAATTTTCTCACAAGCTGGATTTTCTCAACCTCTCACTGATAGGTTGTTGTGCATAATGTTAAGATTGCTGTGCTTTTGGCCAAGAAGCCAAAGTACTTTTGTTACGTCCAGTCAAAGACGTCAGTCTTTGTAGCAACAGAAAGCTTTGTTAAACCGAGTGTAGATTTTTCCTCTTGCTGCCTTGGGTATATTAGCCTGGGGTATTACATAGCATATTCCCTAATGAACTAGTGTCTGTCTTTCTAGTGCACCTTCACCATCACATCTCAATATTTTTGACTATGAACTTTCTATTCCCCTATGCACTAAGCAAAGCTAGTAACAATACAAAAAAGGGAAATTTTAGTCTCTTCAAAGTCAACCGTTTGTGAATACGGCAAATAGGTTTTTTTTTCAGAAATTGTTATAATGCATTTCAAAACAGAAATAGACTATATTTTGTGTGCATATAGCACCTCTCATCTGAGGATCTCAAAGTGCTCAGGAACATTAATAAAGCCTAATAATTCTCTGAAGATATTATGATGCCACTGCTATAGATGGGTCAACTGAGGCACAGAGCAATTAAGTGACTTGCTGAAGGCTACACACATGAGTTTTGTTGCAAAGTTGGAATAGAACCCAGGAATCCTGATTCCTAGTCTTCTGCTTTAACCACTGCCAAATAAAAAATATAAATACCTCAAAGTAGAAAAGAATTCACCATTTTGAGTACTGTTTGACTAAAGCAAATTCCAGTGGTAAACAATCCTAGATTTACTTGTTGGCTGCAGTTTTCCCCATGCTATTACCAGCATTTCAGGTTCCTCTGGTTGGGAGCGCCAGTGGGATAAGTTTAATAAAGAATAAATAAAAGAAAGTTGTGTGTCTTCCATCCTACATGATATCAATATTATTTCCTAGATGGAAATGATATTGAAATTTGAAGTGGAGGCAGATAGATACATCTTCAGAAAGGAATAGCACAAAGATCTTCAGACCAGATAAAGCCAAGTGCTCTAGGTGGATGAGGGCCTAACTTTCCAAAAATGACTAGTTACTGTGGATGCATCAATTTTTGGGTGGGGCATCTTAAAGGGGCCTAATTTTCAGAAGTACTGAACCATCATCTGTGGAAAATCAGGCCCCTTTTTAAGGTCTCTTAAATTAGGCCTCAAATTCAGGAGTACTAAAATCCTTTAGTTACTTTTGTAGAGTTAGATCCTAACCTTTTTCTTGCTAGAGAAAATGACAATATTAATGATCAAGGGAGAGGAAAGGAGAAGTTCAAGGAACATTTCAGCCTTTGCCAGAATCTAGTTTTTGTGAGTGGCACTGGTGGTATAATGGTTAAGGAAAGCAAAAGCTACTTATTGTTCTGAATCCAAGGGATTGTGACTTCACAGGTAAGATGAAGTGACTAGTGAAAAATTTTACAAAGTGGGGTAGTTATTCTCTTCTGACAAGAAGAGAAGGAAGTTAAGGAAGTAAAGCTGCTTAAGTTAAATGGTGTTAAAACAGAAGAGGCAGGGGAGAATGTTTAAAACAGGGTGTCAAGGGTTTTGCAGATTCAGATGCTATTTTTGAGCAGCATTTGGCAGACAGTGTCTCAAACTGATGTAACCTGCAGCACTGAATTTACTGCAGTTGCAGCATCATGAACAAAACATTTGTGAGAATCTTAACCAATAGCAATTAAGAATTTTTGTAAGCAGGAGTTTAAAACCGACATTTCAATGTCAGTAAATCCAGTCCAGGTATAGTTGAGATGGTGCGTTCATTTTGAGTCC